ACAGGTTTGCTGTTTTGTCGGGACCTACAATTCCTATCATTGGCGAGGGTGACAAAGAAGCAAATGATTTGTAAGCATTCATGCACTCCTTAAAACTTTATGTTCTTTGCTGTACACCTGTAATTGTACCAAGTTCTTCTAAATTTACCATGGTATTTTGGGGATTTTGATAATAGAAAATATTGCTAAGGAATGTATGATAAATGTCGCCGTCATGACTCATAAAAAAGTGGACGGAGGGTACTCATGTCTGACAAGATTACTTCTATGATTCTCATACTCCGCTGTTTTATAAGGAAAACTTCTGTTTTTGGTCCAAATGACATGTCAAATTTCTTTTCTTGGGCTAAAATGTTAAAGATTCGACACGGGTACTAAAGGTGAGATAAAGAGTCCAAGTAGCACAAGTAATTTATCTCTAATTGAAATTTATTTTGTAACTAGACCTTGCTAATTGGTATTCCAAAAAACTACTAGCTACTGTATTACTTTAGGCCCTTCCTTGTCAAGTCACTTGTGGAAACAGGAGTTCATTTTCAAGATTTCAGTAATCTTTAAGTTCTTCAGCCTCTTTATTACGGAGAATATTGAAGTTGTTCCATTTAATTTTTTTTTAATTTTTTATCTAGTGTGCTACAATCTTTTATGGAGAGATCTTCATCTCTTTCTGTTTAGTCACTTGAACTTTTTTTTTCACCCTTCTGGACTGAAGATCTTTTCATCAGGTATGTAGAACAACTCGTTGCTAGTGCTGAGGCTGCAGTACAAGAGGTCATTCGACGAGGGGTAAGCTGGTTTGCTTTTATAAATTTTTTCCTTTGTTATCTGTGAATTGAGCAATATGATTTCAGAAAGCTGGTACTGGGCTGCTGACTTTTGGCAACCCAAATCACTTGGGTCGGACTGGCCAGTCTATGGACCAGTCCCACAGCATGGCACGGTCCTTGCTTAGGGCTTGTGCTGGTCTTCGCAAAATGTGGCCCAAGCATGCCCCACCAAGGGTAGCCTCATGGCAGGCTGAGCCAAATTTGTGGTAGGACTGGCCAGCCCATTGCCAGCTTTTTATTGACTTGTATAAATACAGTCATGGTTACAATACCCTTTGCTAAAAAATTCTGTAATTTTAAAGGTGGCTCATCCCAACAAGATAGCTATTGGAGGTCACTCTTATGGAGCATTCATGACTGCAAACCTCCTGGCACATGCTTCTCATCTGTTCTGCTGTGGAATTGCACGATCTGGAGCTTATAACCGAACTCTTACACCATTTGGATTTCAGGTACATAATTTGTTTCCTGTTACTTGACAAACTACCCTTATATTCCCCTTGTGTAATCTAATTCTGTATGTACTTATAATATATTGTTGCCAAACTTATAGAACGAGGATAGAACACTTTGGGAGGCGACAAATACTTACATAGAAATGAGCCCTTTTATGTCGGCCAATAAGATCAAGAGGCCTATTTTGCTTGTTCATGGAGAAGAAGACAACAATTCAGGAACATTGACAATGCAGGTATTTGCTTTTGCATTACTTGTTTACTTCTCTTTTGTATACCAAACCCTTCCTAAAGCATTTCTTCAGATGTTCACCTGTGTTGTTCGTTGTATGAAAAAAAACTTTAAAATTCATTTCTTTTACTATTTACTTTGTAAACACTTATTCACTTTCATGCCTCCTGTCTGATGATGTATTAATTTTGTTTACTTCTTACCTGCACTTACTAATATTGCAGTCAGATCGGTTCTATAATGCTCTGAAGGGTCATGGGGCTCTTTGCCGCTTAGTAATTCTTCCTTATGAAAGTCATGGCTATTCAGCAAGAGAAAGCATCATGCACGTTCTGTGGGAGACAGACAGGTGGCTGCAAAAGTTTTGTGTTTCAAACACATCTGAATTAGATGCAGATGCTGGTTCCCTTAAGAAAGAAGATAGCACAGGGAATGCTGATGGCAAAGTGATTTCTGTGACTGGTGGTGGTGTTGCTGAGATAGAGGAACCAGAGAATGGAGACTACTCTCTTCAGAGGTCATTGTTATGGTAATTTCTGCCGTCAGAGAACTTAAAGGCTTCAATGAGCCTTTTTTATATGCCAAAAAAATAAATAAATTATGTTCTCGGACTGAAGAGTTTATATCATACCTGAGTATGTGTCCAAGTGTTAAACTCAACTATTTCATGAAAGTTTCCTCCTTTATGGTCCAAAATAATATGTTAAGGTAGACCCATGTAGAGTGTTGAGAATCTAACTCAGTAACACTAGGTAAAATGAGGAGTCCGAGCAACATAGAGATTTTTTTCCTTTATAATATGCCGCTGCTTTGTTTTTGTTGGAGACTTTCATCTCAACTGCTGACAACCTTTTCTTCTCTCTTGATTTTATTTTTCTAGAATGAATTGAGAGCTTTAATTGGGACATTGAACGAGTTTGAGCATATGGCGAGCATTCCATGAAGAGAAGAATAATAAGATGAAGTTCATGATTTGAACCGATGATTTGTCCACTTTGCTACGCTGCTTGCTCTGCTTCAAACAGGCTGAAGGCACAATAGTATGAAAATTATTGCATTATACTTGCTCAGTATGCAAAAGAAATGTAGTTCCCATTGAAAAGATTGTACTATTTATTTTTAGGACAGATTCAAAGCCCAAAGGGCGATTTCTATCTGGGTGTAGCTCATCAGCATAGCACACAACCATCAGTTTACTTTGCTAATGTATACGAAATACTAGCAATAAAGCAAATATTTTCTGATTTACTCTTTGTTAGATCACATGTCCATAACATAAACAAGCACTATGTATTCAACGGGAAATTCTCTGCCCCAAATAATTTGAGGCGTTGAAGACTCAAATGGGGTTTTTTTTCGTAATTTGCTCATGGGTCCAGCTCATTTAAAAATTGGCGTTGGTATTAAATTGTGTTTAGATGGTATCATATAAATACCAACAAAGAATCATATTGATACCAACAAAACATTTTTGCATTCGTTGATATTGCTGAAAAAGTATTTTGGTATCATGATAATACGATTTAAAGCATAATTTAATATCAATGCGTGTTATTAGAATCATTCATGACTCAAATTATTATAGGCAGAGAACCAATTTCTAAAGAAACAACAAAATTGAAGGTTCGACTTTATTTTGCCCTTGCGCGGTTGCACCCCTGTTGAAACGAAAATAAACCAACTTATCCACAAAAATATGTTAAATTGTATGTCGAATATTGAAAACGCAACTCTATACTGAATGTTAGGTTGATTTCAATTACTATGTTCAACTGTTTGACATACATTGTTTTGTGTCCAATGTCCATATCATCTTTGTAACCATTCGACCAATACCTTGTACATTAATTAAGAGTCCATATAATCTTTGTAACCATACCGGTGCATCTGTAGCCGTTTTTATGCAACCTAGGCCTTGACTATCATCATTAGTCATTTCATATAACCCTTTTCCTCTGTGTCCCCAATCTCCAATTATTACAGTAGTGCTGAACTGCTGGTTAATTACGCAATACTGCATTAGGTAAATAAAATTTCCCAACTTTTCCTTTATCTGTGTTCATCGAATTACAAGTTCCTGAGTAAAAAAAAAATGGGCTTTGAGAATATTCATCTTAAAATATGAACTTCCAGAATCCCACACATTATCAAAGCCTAATTCTGCTTTGCTCGTGTGATTTTCTCCCTTCCCTTTTTTTGACATGGGTTATATAACTTCAATTTTTTTGATCAATTTATTTTTAATTTCGTGTTTATGTTACTGATATTTTAGAAATTTGGGAAGAAAAAAAGGGTGAATCTTGGGGATTTGATGATGATTTTGAATTATAGTTAACTATTTGCAAAAAAAAAAAAAAAAAAAAAAAAAAAAAAAAAGGGGTGATTTTTAGAAAGTAAGTGAACTATTTGCAATATTGTTCTTAGTTTTAGGAATTGTGGTTCTGTCTGTTGTATGATCATATGAACTGCTGACATGATTAGAAATCGAAAAAATTGTTACAGTATAATACTTATACGAGAAGGTTGTATTGAAATTGTGAAATCATCAAGAAAGAAACAAGTTTTGTTTAATTTTATGGTGCTGTTATTGAAAATATGGCTTTATAAACTTGAACACATACATGCATTAGGAGACGCAGGACTGTAGCCTGTAGGAATAGCAAGGTGTAATCACGATTTTAGGAAGAGGGTTATCGTTTAGGAGGTGATGAGTGAACTTTGTTTTTGTATTAGCGTACTAGCTCTTTGATTATGCTGGATTGTTTTTGGAGACTATATGATGAGCAATTTTCGGAAATAGCCATTTCGACCTTTAGGGATTTACAACTGAGCCTGAAGTTCTTCCAGTCACAATCTTGTCTCATTTAGGTATGTTGTATCAACAAAAGAATAATTGACAGTAGCTTCAGCTATTGGAAGTCTCGATTCCTTGTTTAGAAGTGGAACTTGGATCTTTCATTTGCCTTTGCTGTCATAGTCATGGGTGTGATCCCTTAAAGCTGACTGAAAACCTAAGAGAAAACTAAGCGTATTTTTGTTGGAATCCGTACATAAGTCTGACTTTTTTGGCGTGTCTGAGTAACATAGGGCCGACCCCACTTATGGGATTAAGGCTTTGATTGATTGATTGAGTAACATAGGGTGTGGGATCTATGATTTGAAGGTTCTGAATGCCTGTGATGTGTATATGCTCATTATAGTAATATGCACCAAAGGTTCCAATGAGGTTATTTTGTCTTGGGAAAATGGGAATACTATTATGATCATATCATTTTACAAGTGATACTGCATTCCTTATATCTGTAATTGATGGATCACACTTCAGAGTTCAAAAGTAGAGAGTTCAATTAGGATTCAGTTTGGACAAGCAGTGATGTTTAGTTGAAGAAGTCTGCTTAATATTCAATGTGATCTGAAGTACTTTGTATGCTATAAGTAATACTTGTATGTGAAGTCATAGTTACTTGGCAGATAACAGTTTTTGCAATGGGAAGCGAAACTGAGAAGGAATACGCTGCCTTTGAGGAGAAGGTGAAGCGAACAGTGTATCTTGACAACCTCTCTCCCCAAGTTTCTGAAGAAGTACTCAGAAAGGCATTTAAGCAATTCCACGGTACTCTGACCAACATTCATTTCATCCCAAGCTACACAGAGCCTAGCTACTACAGCGCTAAGTTTGCTCTTTTGGAGTTTGAGAACCAAGATCAAGCGAAGGAAATAATTGATTTGCTGTCTGACTTTCCATTCATGATTCTAGGGATGCCACGGCCAGTAAGGGCCTTTCCTGCAGAACCTCAGATGTTTGATGATCGCCCAAGTAAGGCTGGTAGGAGGTTAGAACTCTATTGGTTAGATCCAAAGGATTCTGATTTTGATGTGGCTCAGCAGCTGAAGAACCTGGCAGAGAAGCATGTTGCTCAACAGTCCTTCCTACTCAAGGTTCGTAGTGATTTAGTAAATAAAATTTGTTAACATGTGCTGTAACTGGGAAAACACACCGGGATTCTTCTGGATTCTATCATTTCCCCCTTTTGCTACTAACTTTCGAAAATCAGGAATTGTTCTTTTATGGATTGCGTGAAATTGTTTTTATTGATCAGACTATTGAAATTCATCTTTGATTATTGTTCATGTATTTACTCAGTATATTCATCATCACATTATCATAATGCGCGTAATACTCATATTTGGGGTGCTGTTTCTTTCTGTGTAGCAGAAGCAGCTAGAGGAGGAGGAGAAACTCTCGAAACAGCAAGCTGAGACTCTGAATACCCATTATCAGAAGTTAGAGATGATAAATTCTGCATTATCGAGTGGCTCCGCAAAGGATCTTGCTAGGCTCTATGGAGTAAATATGACTGATGTTTCTGGAATTTGATAGATTGTTATCAACTCGACGCCTTTCCTAGAATAACTCCAATCACATGTAATTAGTGGAATGCATGCAAATTACTTGATTTACTGCAAGTGATAGCTTTGAGGTTTTTTATGCTTTGTAAAGAGGAAATATTTCAGTCATATAGCTAAGTGAACTCATTTGGTTACTATTTCCAGGTATGCAAAGTGCACTTCTTCAGTCTCATTTGACCGGTTTTTGATATCATTACTATTTCGTCTTATAATGCATTTCTAATTTTATTTCATGAACTCTCTTTCGATTAAGGGCTTGCCAGCAATTCCATCCAGGTGAACTGGCTATTGAGAGATAAGTGGTGAGTTCAGTGCAATCATCGCATGCAAACCTCAAATACATTTCCTCTTAGATCAACAATTATCCAAACATAAATGTTAATTTGATAGCATTAAACATTGATCTGAAAATCCTAGGATATGACTCATATGAGGAGAAAAACAGAGCAGTAAGGTAAGAATAAAGAAAAAGGAGAAAAAAAGAGAGGACATTTTAGCAGTCCAAACTTTCAGAAATTATGACAAAGCAGGAAGCCAGGAAACCGCCTAATTATACATGAAACATTGCCTCACCACATGCTCGTTAGGACAATGAACAAATATACAGTTCAGAAGGCCATTTCTGGAGACGGGAATCTCAACTAGTGATGGAGTCGAGGTGAAATATGAAGGTGGAAGCTAGAAACAACGGAAAAGAGTTATCTGCATGGTAGCCATCAGCACGCTTGTTGGAGTAACCAGGGTAGTCAGTCCTACGAAAGGGCACCTTCTGATGGAACACAAGCCCACTTTTCGCAGCCTTCTTGGCCAAGTCCCACTGGCTATAAGGTTGCCCCTCCTTGTGGCTCACATGCACCTCCCCTGCTGGATTCATTAACAACAATTTCGCGTTCATTAAGAACCCCTTCACCAGCTGCTTGTTCAGCTTGATTTGGCAAATGCTGTCTTCAGGGAACATAAACCCGACATGAGGGAAGTTATAAATAACGCGATCAAACCTCTGAGTAGACAGAAAGTAATGCTGGCTCATTTGAGTGGCATCAACCCCATGTAATACAATACATCCCCTCTCTTCCAATTCCCTTACATTATCAACTCCATTGCTGTACTTCTTTCCTAACATCTCAAGAGAATCAAGAGATGTCGCGACCATATTATATGCCGTCTCAAATGCTCTGGCTAAACACAGTGCAAATGAAAAATCTCCTTCTCCTACCAATAATATCTTCTGCGATGATGCATAATGCATTATCGATTTTTCTCCTTGTTCCCACTCATTTTCGCTATCATCTTCATCAGATTCAGTTTCTACTTCCTCCTCATCTTCTTTCTCCTCTTCTCTTATCTTGGGAATTGACATTGCCCTTTCTTTCAATTTTTAAATGTTTCATGTATTTTCGGGCGAAAATGATCCAAAAAGAAATTAACACAAAGTTATTAAGCAGCAGCACATTCATAATTTATCTTCATCTCAACTCAAACAGTGCAATTCTAAATAACTTGATTAACAACAATTCCCTAAAAAATCAGGACAATATCATAGTATACATGAAATCCAGCTATCACAATTTTATGAAATTAAATTATGCTCAAAAATAGCAGAATCAACTGTTAATTCAATCAACAAATCCCTCAAAATAACAGTAATTCTAAAATTTCAAAACTAATCCACACAATTAGTTAATGAATTAATATAAACTACCACTGTGAATCATTCAGGCAAAAATAAACAAAAAGTTTCAGATTTTAACTAAATTGCGAACAAAAAGCATAAGAAATAATGGTTTGAGTGGCGATTAATAATCCAAGAGTGAGTTACTAGAAAAATGGGAGAAAATCAGAGTTTCATATTATTGCACATATTAGTAAGATTATTAGGATAATTAAGTGAAGAAAAAGACCAAATTTTGATTAATAAAATTAGGGTTCTTACCAAAAATTTAGCCTGTCGAGGTCTTGGAGCTCACAAATCAAAAAGGAAGAGAGAAAAGTTCTACTCTTAGTAGTGAAGTATCACAGTATCTGACTCAACAAATTCAGTCAACATTTACATATAAATTCATGCACAATTATGGCTTATTTGACATGTCTCTCATGGGGCTCGCCCCGGTTCATCAGTTTGATTAACAAGAAATTATAAATCAGCACTTTTGTGGGCCATGCTTTGCTACATAAATTATTATTATAATGATGTGTACGGTGGATGTCTGTAAGAGCGTAACGGCACTTAGTGGACGGTCGTTTACCTGCTTTTATCCAAACTTTTTAAAAAAAATAAAACATAAATACTCCGATGCAACTTCTCTACCTTCTTCTTCACTGACTTTCTTCTCACATTTCTGCAATTCTTCCTCAACTTGAAGCAGAGGAGAGAGAAAGTAAGAGAGTGAATATTTCTTCATACCTGCAACAATGCTTCTTCGATTTTTCTGTAAACTTCTCAAAAACAATGGAAGCTTTCACTCTTCCCTTTTCTAATGGCCTCCAATCAATAAATTACAACCCTAATTTCGCTATTTTTCGCAATAATGTCCGCCATTTCGTTAACAAGTAGAGTAATTAATGAAGATTTGTTTGGGATTTCGTAAAAAAAAAAAAAAAAATAGAATGAGATTTAATTAGTGTCGAGTTACTGAAATTGTGATGTCGATGTGATGCACCACCGGAAATTTCAATGTTGTTGACACTCGTCCACCAATCACAACCAATCGATTTCGATTTCTCGATCAAAAATAATTTGAATTAGGGTGTATTTCAAAAGGAGTAAAGGGAGACAGATTCAACAGTAACGCCAATTTTTGAGTCCATACATCGTTAAATCAACTAACGATACATTTTTCCATCCACCTTTCTTGTCAGTCTTAAATTACAATACTGCCCTTATTATATCATAATATTTACGATTTTTACCCCCTGATTTCACTGAGTTGTTTCTCAGACTTATTAACATGTATTTTCTCGTCTCTCATGTCGTACCAAATGTTAAATTTGACCAATTTTATATTGTGCCTAATGTTTTAGTTGACCTTTGTGTGACCCCGTTTATATCGAACTCTAAGTCTAGTTTTAAGTAACCTTTGGTTTATATGGAGTATTACTAAAATTTGTCATACCAGCATTTAACCTTTTTTTTTTCAAGTGAAAATTAAATTTAGAATGCCAGAATTAGCCTCAAAATTTGTTATTTGGTTAGCCCTATCTTGTTTGTGGTTAGACTTTAGAATCTTTTATCATTATTAATTTATCAGCTTGAGTTTTATAATAATGGTTGGATTGATATTAAACAGAGTAATTAATTTCATACAAGTCCATTTTCTATTCTAGATAATCTTATAAAAACTGTGCATCATTCATTTACTTTTAATTGCAATAATTGTGTAGGTTTTTAGTCAATTTGTTACAACTAAAAGTGACCAAATAAAATGAGAGGTAGAACAAAAGTAGATGGAGCCATGGATAGATATGTGATTTAATAATTAAGACAAGTAGCTTTTAATTTGTTTAACGAAGTATATGGAGTGGTTTACAATCTAATCGTTCCCAAGTACCAACATGGCAACATATAGTGCTTCATATTTCCCTTAGTTGTTAAACGGACAAACGATGCTTAAGAATCAATTAAGCTAAACATAAGCAAACTTAAGCTCAGTTTTCAAGAGGACTTAAAACTAAACCTGCCCATTTAAGTCCACGTAGAACTTGAGTTTGTAATATATGTCTAAAAGGCTACAGAGTACAGTACTTAGTTATATAGGAGTAACAATAAAATTATGTGAACAGTACAAGATTCGATATCAAACCTTAGGTATAAATATACTACAAAGTACCAATTAAACTGTTTGACATCCATATATTATATAAACACGACTACTATAATAATTAAGCATGTCAACTTAAATTAACTTAAATTAGTATAATGGTTTTGTTTATATATTAATACAAGTATTAGTTTGTATTAGATTAGGTCTTAGGCTTAGAAATGCAAGCCTAATTGTAATTTTACGTATCTTTTCTTCTTTTGAAATGCATTGTTATATGGTGTGATTGAAGAAGCTTATATGGTGTGATTGAAGAAGCTTGTACTTCTTTTATTCTTATCGAACAAAATAATGTAAGGGTACGGTGTATGGTGGTGTGATGGAAGTAACTTCTAACATTTACTTTACATAGATTGGATTGTACAACTCTAATTTTGATTCATACAAATATAAAATACGTTGTACTTAAAACAAACATAAATAAATATGTATGAAACTATTGAACACAAAATCTTATGTTTATTAACAAACACTAATGACTAAAAAGTTTCTTTGATAAAAAGTTGAAAGTTATGAAACAAGTTGCTTATCTAATCTAAAATCTAAACTTCAATATATCAAAATTAAATCAAACTTAAATCATTGATGTTTCTGATGAGCTAGTTTCATGATAAATACATCTAAATCAAATAGAGAAAGTATATACTCCGTACTTCGTATTAAAAGAATTAGAAACAGGTTACTATTTTAATAATTTTGCACATGGAAATATGTGGTATATATCGTGGTTAATTAGCATTAGAAAAAGTACTAAGATTAATAGTACCACTAATCCACTATAGATTGACTTCGTCATTATGTGGAGCACGAGCTGCACGAGATTACTTAATCTTGGCTTTCATGAATATTGCCAGTCTATAATAATTTATTGATTACAAAGTATTTTATTTTTTCTTAATCAAGTAAATTGGACCACCCCCCCCCCACCCCAATCTTTTTTTTTTTTTTTTTTTTACTATGTATTAGATAAATTATTTATAGGTAAAAAACTATGCAATAGATAAGATATTTTCTAAAAATGTGCGGTATTTATTCCATGGACGGGTCACATTAAAGGTGTAATGATGTTTACGTACCTTTTAAAATTAAATGAGTGTACTATTGCAATATGAAGGGTAGTTGCTACAAAATTAAATAGGTTTTTTTTTTTTTTTTTGAAGGGAAATTAAATAGGTGGTTTACGATATTAATATGTTGTCCAATTTAATCGTTTTGGTAGATAATTCTTAATTTCTTATGTAGAGATCATTAATATTCGGAATCTTTAATTTATTTCTATCTATTTAGTTGGTCATCGGAAATGTCTAATCTTACAAATATGAGTATTGTGAATTTTGGTAACTTAATTTTAGGATTGTGAATTAACATTTTTTTATATAGTAATTTATCTTAGCTAAAATTTTGGTAACTTAACTTTAGGATTGTGAATTAACATTTTTTTTTTATACAGATTAGAAGAAGCATCCCAACTTTGTCGGAAAAGAGGTGAAGGGTAGGAATATACATACCTTCAATAGTTCAATGTGCCTATAGTATGGTATGAATGTATGATTAAACTCATGGATATGAGACAGTTTTTCTTGTTTTACACCTAAAAACATGTGTGAATTTTCCATCAAAATAATCAAATTACATTATGTATATCAAATAAGATTCCTAAACATATACTGCAACAAGTGAAAATGGACAGCTTCTAATTTTTGGAGCGAAAACAAATGAACCAACTTTTTAATATTATTTTGATATGAAGTAATTTTCTAGTTTTACACGGATTGAAATTTCCACATATATATCTAATTTCTTTCCATTTTTTACCAAACCCCACCAACTCATACACATATGGTGTTCTTTTTTGAGTTCTTTTTCGTTCATTTTTGGAACAATTTAAATAGAAAATTCTAATCTAATCAACTTTACATCCTATTAGTTCTCAAATGTTACACCAACTCACCATCCTACCTAGTTCCTATGCCTTGTTGGAAACCATGCATGATGCATCCTTCTTTGTCCAACCTCTTTTCCACCGTTTCCCACCCATCTCCATCGTTCTCCTTACTAAAAACTTCACCTAATCGTGTTCAAATCCTATTAACATCATTATCATATATATATATATATATCACGTTCCGTTATACTGTACACCAAAACGTAAATCATCTTTCGATCACGTGCTTTAGAATCAATAACTACTAAACTGCGTATTGGTGTATAAGATAACTTAGCTGGTAAAGTTTTATAATAATTTCTTCCAATCTTATTTTAGTTAACCAAACAAAAAAAAAAAAAAAAAAAAAAAAAAAAAAAAAAAACCCAACTATTTTGATAGTTTTATTATTAAAAGATACGGAGTAAGATTACATGCAACATGAACCTCGATCTATAAACATCGTTATCGTTGGAATGAGATTAAGACATTAGATAGTCATATAATGGAGACATGGAGTACTATCATACTAACCCATAAATCGTCTCAATTTATTGCAAAAGTCACAACTAAACTTACTTAAAAATAGATCACAAAATAAGGAATAAAATCAACCATATTGTATACAATCAATTTTATTACCCCTTTAAAAGAGATTCATTTCATTTCCCACCTACAAATACAAAAAAATCTCACACCAAAAAAACACCACATTCTTTTTCTTTTTCTCTCCTCTCATTTTAACAATGGGTTGCATTTCCTTCAAATTTTCCACCAAATTCATTTTCTCTCTCCTCCTCTTCTCCGCCATTCCTATTGGCATTCTCATCACCCTTGAGAGGACCCCACCATCTACACACGTGTACCAATACCATAGCAACAGCTGGCTCAGGGAATGTGCCAAGTGGGATGATCTCAACCGTCGATTCCTCGTCTCCTACTTGGAGGGTGGTGTAGGAGAACTCAAACTCGTTTCTGATGATGATCGTGTTTTGGATGAAATCACAGCTTTTAAAGACGTTGACTTGGTTGGAAATGCTTCCGTCGGTATTTCCATTGACCGGTCGAGGAATCGCCTTCTTGTTGTTACGGCTGACTTGATTGGTAATCGTTACGGTGGTCTCGCTGCTTACGACCTTTCCTCTTGGCGTCGTTTGTTTCTTACTCACCTCACCAAACCCGGTAATGTCTCTCCGTTTCTACTTTTTTTATTTTTTTTATGACGATGTTTCTAGTAAAAGTAGCAATCGGCCAAATCCGGTAAAGTAAAGCATGGAAAAGATTGACTTTTTAGTTAGGATTTGCTAGACTAATTAATCCAGGCTGATAATAAATGTGGAACTCTTATATGAAAGGATCTCAAAATTATTTTTATCGAATAAAAGGTTTTATTTGAATAATAGACGAATAAATTTTACTAAAATTACGCGGAACAATGTTTTTTTCTTTAAATATGGGATAATAATTGGTAAATTAGGAGGATATATTTGTTACGAAAGAAATTTTTGAATGTAAGGTTTTGAATGAAAAAATCAAACAAAGAATTTGAAAATGAGTGGCTCGCAACTTGACAATTGTCATGCTTAAAATGTTAAAATTGCTATAGAAAATACCAGATTTTTGTAGTTTTGTTGATGACTTGTATTATCTTCTTTTCCAATCGAGATTAAACTTTTCCTTATAAAAAATAAAAGTATCTACTACATATTATATTATATCACTAATATATAAAGCCAGTCTTGAAGTCAGGCCACGAGACAGCGACACTTAACATTCCAGTTATTTGCCAAGTGTCGCGCCGCATATGCGAAAATTAAGTATTATTGTGACACATATGATGTTAAGTAAGCAAATTTTGGATAGATTTTTTAAGATAAAATTATCGGATAGAGTTTTATTGTCGATAAATTTCTAATATTTCATATATACAAAACTAATCATAACTTTTAATAAAACTTCATGAGTGCTATAGGGGTTACTTGGCTAGTGTCACCAACTATTACAAGAGTTACTCGGTCAGTTTTATAATGATTACTTTGTGGTGTGGCTAGCCGCATATAAAATGCATTGTTATTTAAAAAAATAACAGAGAATCAGCAAAAATAAGTTTTAATTTATAAAAATA